TACACAATTTATTACATTTGAATATTTTGAACACTTGCTGATTCGAAAATTTATAATTTTCTGAATAAATTCTCAACCATGATAAGATTTTATTACATTTAATTATTTGAGGAGCTGTAAGGTCATTTATGCATGTTATTAAAATCATTTATTTCAGAAAATAATATTTTGTTTATTATACACTGCGTAGTACAGCTAATTATATTAGAGGAAATGATATAATGTGAATCATCCGATGTTTTTAGCAAAGATTAGTTTTACCTGCCATATTATGAGTACACAAATAAATTACTAATAACCAACAGCTAGGTAAATGAAATTAAAAAAATACCGACAGATTGTTTCAGCTCAAAATCTTTTTTTTTATGAATGATTTATCAATGAATTAAAATATAACACATCCGTTACTGAGTCTTACTGAATAATTATGTATAGGATACACTTTTACTGACTCTAATTAGTCTTATTTATTTATTTTGCTTGCCATCACCTTTGAGTGAGTATTTTGGTGGTAAATTTGATTTTTTTTTATGTGGATWATATATATTTTTAATTTTTAATTGTTTTGGTTTTTTTAATTAATTGATTTATCATACAATTTTTATTTACATGAAAAAAGTTTGAAAATGCATTTAGATAACGAGTTCATCATACTACACTTACTCATAGAAAACTAAATATACAATAGTACTTTACATAAATTAATTTTAAAATATCCTTATAAATAATAGAACCTGACACACAGTCCTCACCCAGAATCATAGTTCTTACTTATTCATCATTGAATTTAAATTTAACATATTATTCATTACAGTGACTTATAAGGTTTGATATATGTATACTGGTATGCATTCAAAATCTACTATTGGTACAGTGATGGAGTACTGGAGTGACTTCTCCAGTTATTTGTATGTTTTTAGTAACCACTAGCGTAAATATAATATAAGTTTTTATATTCTTATATTTGTCTGTTAAAATATTACGGTAAATGGTAAATTTTTTGTTGTTTATATTTTACGTTGTTGATTTTGAAATTTTTGAGAGATAGAATATCAGGTCCACATCGTAAAGCTCGTTAAACTTTTTGTACAAATCGTGAATAAAAAAATATGGTTATTGTGGCAAACAAATCCAAAGAAAAATGTTTCATATTCAATTCTTCTTTCCGATATTAAACAAGTGTTTAAAGAAGCATTAAGATTATTCATGTAAGCGAATTTTAAAAATATAATAATAAAAATATATTTTTATGTAAAAATTGGATGAATGATTTTTGTAACTAAGCTATTTAACTTGAAATCTCATATTACAAATATTGTATTTTGTAAGTTTTATATTTCAAGTATTTATAACTGACACACTACCACAGAATTATAACAAAATACTCGTGAATTAATCAAATATCAAATTTAAATAAATGTAAATAATAAGTAATATTCATGATTTAATGCCTATTGTATACAATTAAATATTTTATTTATTGTTTAGGTTGAAGGTTTTATACAATTTTAAAATGTGCACAACACTGAACAAAAAATATTTACATAGCACGTGTAAATTTAAATTAAATAAATAAGGTATTTTACAGTAAGGTAAAATTAATTTATAAATGATTTTAAAAAAATGATTCAACTCCTACATATTATATTTTAACTAAAAAAAAATTAATCTTTTAATAAACAATAAAAAGACTTGATATAAACCTAATATACAAATGTATAGTATCTAAATAAAACTATGTGGACTTTTACACACTAAAAATTTAAAATTTGAATCAATGCGTTATTAAAGGGGAAAAGAGGTGGKTGGATGACTACTCGTATTTGGTGAATCGTAATCAACAAAAACAACTTATTGTATACACTTTAAAATGTTGAATTATTTAAACTCCTAATATTGCACGAAACCTGAGTACAATTTTACAGTTAAATAGAAAATCGTATGATTAAAAAAACAAAAGTAAGTACATTAAATTTATAATAAATGTGTACATATATTTTGACTAGGTACCACTATTGAAATACCCAAACAAAATGTATAAATTAGGTACAGTTATCGTATCCAGATTTAAAAATTAATACTATATAGTATATATTTATACATATATGAATTTTGGTTTGAATGAAATTAAAACTCTGGTTTTCGAATTTCAAAATCGTGTTTCTAATTTCCCTACTGTTATTAAAAATAATTTGTCTTTTGTAACAGTCAACACTGGATTTTGAATTTAAGCTATTTTTCGTTATTAAATTATTTATTCATTAATAACTATTCAAAAAATATTGTTTTTGGCTTAAGCCGAATTACCAAATGCAATAAACGATAGGTTTAAAATCACCGGAACACTGTCGGGAACGGGACTGGATGAGTGTGATAAAACAATACTCGCATGATATATATACTTACTTTGTATTATATAATTGTAAGTGAATCAAACTGGTAACCACATTATTAATTTTCTAATTTTGTAAATTAAATTAATTGTCATCGATTACGTATATAGTTAATATTTTTAAAGCACTAACCATTGATGGAATTTTTTTTTTCATTCAACCAAATCGTAGTAATAGCATCGTAGAATTATGCCAACTATAAATTGCAGTTTTCACAAGATCCGAAATGAAATTAATATTGTTACACACATAATATATTATATATGACTACATACAATTTTACAAATACGAGTGGTACGACACATGTTGTTCATAATTCACACATAGACGTGCATCGTGCATAATACATTATTATTATGCATTCATAGTATTGCAAAATCATTATTTGATCAAACTGCAACATTATTAGATTTTAAGAATGAACGTCATTCATTTTTCAATTTCATGTCGTCAATGCGAAAGTTGATTACGCTCAAAACTAGGTAACGTCAATATTATTATTGAACATATAAAATAAAGGCTCCCTCGATACCCCGGTATTGGTATCCGGACATATTCCTCGTCACCGTGTTATTGGTTTGTTGGTGCAGGTTTAGGTACAGTTTAACGATTCTTAAAGTTTAATTTTTTTTATTATGGTATTTTAAAGACTCAGGAAACTGATACTTCGATATATCTACCTAAATTATTGTTTTAATTCACACGCATTAAATTACCAAACATTTAGATGTTAGAATACAAATGAATGGTGCACTGCAAAAATATAATAATATAATTGACTATTATAGTATAGTATATAGGTACTTAAAACTCGTCCTAATAACCCCAATAATATCGTCATATTCAGGAATCAGAAGTATGGCATGTACTCGATATTTAGAACCTATAGCATAAAATTATGAGTTATGACGTTTAGTCCAGTTAGATATTTGTTAAATGTCGTTTTAAAATAATTGGCATTCAATTGAATATGGTAAAATACTATTCATTCAAAAACCTATACCTCATATTACAATAGATCCCAAAAATAATAAGGACATTTTCTATTAATAATTTAATTAATTATTACACAAATTATACCTACTATAATTTATTATGATGATGTCATTAATTATTTTATGTATAAAACGAATGTAAATCGTTGTAAATTTTTTAAATAAAATGATTCACCTGAAAAGATTAATTTGTAATTTCGAATTTTTAATATGTACTTCAACATTTATGTACCTTTCCAAAATATTATTTTAAGGATGCAATTTTTCTTAATATCAAATATATTATGTGTCTATTCAGTACAGCTTATTTTTTAAGCATCGATCACACAGTCAAGTTGTCTTGTTTTTTTTAGCTACAACTTTCAAGGAATTCTTGTATAAGTACTACTGTAGTTCTTTATAAATAAATGTTCATCTAATTATGACTAATGTTTTACATTTCCTTTTATATTTGTCATAATTTCTTAGATTTATCTCAAAGTAGTGTATCCTAAATTATAATATTATGTCACCATATAGTAATATAATATTAGAATTTAAATGTAAATTTTTAGATCGTATATGTTATGTATCCTATTAAATATTAATATGGTTTATGCATAATTCACATGATATTAATGTTTTTTTTTTTTTTACATTTACGCTGTACGTATCTATTCATATAAAGATAAAAAATAAATACAACTGCAAGTACGATGTGATGTAGAAACTAAAACCAAAAATAGGTCTATAATAATATATGACATTATTTTAGAAGTAGTTATTTATTTTAAACTTCACAGACATTATTTATTTAAACTCCAAAAMAATATATTTTCAAACGTTCAAATAAAAATTTGAACACGGCATACAGGTATGTGCCGGTAACGGCGGTAACTCGATTTTCTTAGGAATAAAAATAAATAAATTAAATACTATACGTCTATACATTCATGAATATTCAGGAGGTATTTTCAGTGTGTGAAATATTATCGCAATACAATGTCTATTTATTTTGCAAAATTGTTTAGATGGTGTAAGCATTGTTAGCAAGATTGACTTTCATCATACCTGCATGTAGGAGAACGATCTGTCGATATTTATAGCTAGAACGATGACACACATAATAATAATAGCAATAATATTATCAATATCGTACGGTGGAGTATTATTATTTCGTATATGGTGGACTCGTTTCAGACCATGAATGAACATGCTTTCAAGGCGGTGACGACTCTAAGACCGTATGTAGGGTTGAATGTAAGGGGAGGGGGTAGATTGTGGGCACAATGGAATAACAACGTCGTCATAATATATTTTATTGACCTACGAGACACGATAAAAATGCGTAAGCCGTATGAGTGGGCAAATTGGTAGCATTAGGTAGTAGTTTAGTACAACAACTTATTTATACAACACAATAATAGTTGACAATACACGTGATATTGTAGACATCATATACATCATCATAATATAGTGGTGGTGATAGCGTGGCCGGCGCTGGTCGCGTACAACCCGTCGTGGGGGGTGTGGCGCTTACGGGGTATGACTCACGACCCGCATTGGCCGTTAAAGCACGTGACATCAGAGCAACGTTCATTCATAGCAGACCTTACCGTACACCCACTCGCAACCCCGTGGAGTACGGCGGCCGTCACTATAAAAATCTGCACCCGAAGCTCGCGACTCAAACTCTTCCGATCGCACGGTCAGTCGACGCTCGTGGTTGTACCTAAAGAAGACAATAATATTATAGCCTACGACTATTTAATATAATATACATTTACATATTATATTAGAAATTATTACGATTCGGCTTTCTTCCGTTGTTGCTACAGAGGTAGGTTTTTATCAAACACTAGCGGCGAAATCGCAATGATGATGATAATATAAAATTTTGATATCATATTATTATAATGTATTATTGTATGCGTAACCGAGCTAACCATAGTCTATAGATCCTCGAACCAAACAACTCTGATTTACGATCCGTAATTTTTTTTTAAAAACCCTTCGCACTTATTTTTTACTTTTTATTTTTTTTCTTCTAGACGATGGCAGGTAAATTTTCCGTATTGTTTCTCGTCGGATTCATGACCGCTGTGGTCGTCGCACCGTACATGATGGCAGAGGCGAGATACTTACCCACCCGAGGAAATGATGACCGGTTGACCAGATTGAAAGAGCTGTTGAATGATGTAAGTAACTATGATTTAAATTTATTAGTAGAAAAAAACACGCCGAACACGTTTCCAATGTTCGATTTAAATAGGTTCACCAAAAAAAGATTTATATATCTATACAAAATATGTAAAGTCTTTTCATAACTTACATAGTTATATACTTATATAATGTATTTTAATAAAGGAGTAGGTATATACAAATTCAGGTTTCAAAAATATTAACCTCATCGATTGAAAAATTAAGAAAAAAACGTTATGTTTTATGACGTATTTAAGTGATGAACTCTTATGTAATATATATATAATATATTATATATTTAATATAAATATACTTTATTTACTATAATCTTTCATATTTTCCGGAACTGTCTTTATAAGGAAATAATATGTATGTAAAATTTATACTATTAAATGACTTGTATTTTCTGAATTATTAAAATCATAATTGTTATATAATGACAAAAATTCTGTGTAATTATGGTATTCACATATAATAGGTTTTACTAAAAATGGTTCATTTAAAAATTATACTACGAACTAGTACAATTAATCTAAAACAAAAATACAATTTTATAAAATAACATAAATAATTTTAAATTGAATAATAATTATTAATATTGTAAATTTATTGATAATTTAAAAGAAATCTATTTTATAAAATTAACTAATAAAATTATTTTAGATTTAGATATGAAAATATTAAGTTATTTTTAATTTTTTTTACTATTGATGGTTTTTTGATKTTTATTAAATAAAATTCTGAGTGAAAATATTTTAACATGATATCATAACAATATAAGTTTAATTTATAAAGATAAATGTTATTCAAAAAAAAAATGTCTGACGAAATTAGTATAAAACAGTGAATAAGTGATTCAATAAAAAAAAATTGATACATTTTTTAATTCAATTCCACCATTTTGTCATTTCATCAAAACTATCAAAATCAAATCAACTCGTTTTATGATAATTTATGTTTATCGCTTGTTCTTATTTAAAAAAAAATTATTTAAGCCAAATAACGAATTTGACATTTTATACAAATAGTATATATTTTGTGTTAGTTAAATTTTTTTATTATTTCTATATAAGTAGATATATAATAATGTATATAAAATATAATAATAATATTATTTAGAATTCATATATTTGCAAATTAATAGTAGTATAGAAGTATAATGTATTAAATTAAAATTTAGTGAAATGTACGTAGGCTCATATTATAATAACATATAATATTTAAGCTATTTAAGTCTAGTCTCTATGCCAACGTTTCTTAAACTGTGTTCTGTGAAACCCTGGGGTTCCACGCAGATAACTTCAGGGTTCCGCGAAGCTTCAGTAATTTTTTAAAAATGTTTAAGAAAATTACTTTAAAATATCCATTATGGAAAAAAATACTTGTATATTAAATAATAATATATAAGCTATATGGAATAATCTATCAGATAACTCTGTTCAATAATCTATACTTCTACTTAATATTATAATTCATTTGCAAATAATCTTAAAAAAAGCTGAAAAGCTAAAAAAGTAGGGGTTCCATGATAAAAGTGGATATCAAAAAATCGTTCCACGGATAAAAAAGTTTAAGAAACGCTGCTCTATGCAATTGAAAAAAAAAATATGTTAAAGTGTTAAACGTATATTATGTGTTAAGTGTAAAACAGTGTATAATATTATACTATAACATAAGACATGACTAACTGTTAATTTATCAGCATATTTTTACCGTCATGAAAAATGATTATATTTAATGTATCCACACATGCAATGTGAACTTGCATTGTGTTTTAACAATGCCTTTATAAAAATGCTAAAAAACAATCGTTTATTACTTAATTACTGTTGAATGAATTTCTTTTTTTTCTTTTAGAATCTTTTTGAATTACTGTAATTTTTTTACTAATTAGTTTCCATGCAAATTAGTATAACAGGCAATCATAATACTAATTTTATTTATTTACGAAAAGGTTGAGGCACACATACAAAGATGTGATAATGTATATATATATATATATATGTATGCAAATGTTATATTATGTTAATCCTTTATTAATATTCTACAGGGAGATAATATTATAAATAATAATATTGAATGGTCAAAAATTATGATTTGAGAACAAAAAATAAAATTTAATGACAAATCCAACGTACCATTAGAATTTTATATCTTAAAAAAATATGTTACCTAGCTATTTTATAAATGAAATTACACATGTGTATAATAAGCTGCATAATAATATTGTGTAAGTAAATTGCGATTTATCCACGAGTTTCGTACTTACAGTAGGTATGTTCTGTAAATTTTAATTGTCGTACAAAAATAATTTTTAATGATATGAGCTTAATTCGTAGATAGTAGTTTTAAATTATCATGAACATATTCAATTTTAATACTTATTAACATATATTACGAATTAATATATAAGATTTGATAATCTAGGTAATTTGTTATTTATGTTGCATTTTTGATTTTATCAAGGGGTATTTAAATAATTTATCAATTTTTCATCTGATGGAAGTTGATGAAGCAGTTAATATCGTGTAGTTATGCTAATTGAGAAGTCAAATGCACTAATATAATTCAATAACCAAAAAAATCCTGATTTTTTCAGAATACTGAGTTAAAAATATTTTTAAAAAGAGTTCCCTTTATAATCTACTATAATGTATTCTAATATAATCAAGCTCCACTCAAACTATCGTTTGCTGAATGCAATTATTTATATGCACCAAAATGAACGAATCAAAACGTGAGTATGACCGCTAATCTCTGTACACTGTAGTTTATTAACATGACAATTTGAATGTATCCGTCAAACAGAATGAGATATTTTTCAGAAGATTTGTCATGAACAATGCAAATTTAATAATATATTAGCCTTTGAGGGATCTAAATTATTATTAATAGTGACTGATTATAGGTTAMAATGTAATACGTCCAATGGCCAATTTACATTTTTAAATTAAACTCCATATCCCTACACTACCGAACGAGAAAACTTGGCATAAATCGATAAATGTTTGTGATATTTTTTAATTATTATATACTAAATTCGAATGATCTGCAGTAGGTTGAATAAACTGGATAATTTCAAAACAAAAAAATAAAAAACTGTTAAAATCCGGTACACCTTGTAACTAATACATAATATTATTATTAATAATAATTATATATTAATACCTCACACATTTCTGTGGATGATACCTACATCAATTAAATAATACCACTGTTGTACTATTTTTATCTATTGATTTCTTTTGAATAAAAATAATCATTCTAGCAATTTGTAAAGTATACATGCAGTGAAAATTAGATAAATACAATTTATGTTAGGAAGTTTGATATTTTGGAAATTTACTTGTTCTTTAATTATTAATATACTACTCATATCTTGAATATTAAAACATCAAAATAAAGAAGTTAAAAAAAAATTATATGAATATATCCATATTATATMCATATTATCTATTTTTCTTTTTTTTGAAAATTATGTAAGAAATAAGAACTCTTGGCTTACACATTTGAAATAAGGATTTAATTTAATTATACATGTCAGTCCCTATATTTCAAGAATTATACGGTTGTTTTTGTAACTAAAATTTATTTATAACAGCAGTTTTTTTTTTTCTATACCAACCTATAATTACAATATCTATGGCAATTTTTGATCGTAGGAAAACCTCGATTAGCAAAGATTTGGCTAGCTCAAACACGAAATTTGAATTATGAACCCATTTAGAAATACAATACATAACTCTGAACGAGTGAATAAAAATGGTATTTCAATAAATTTAATTACATATATTTATAACGATATTTAACTAAAATAATCTATTGAACGGGAATAGAAATTATATTAAAGTAAATAATCATTTAGGTTTAAGATGATTTTATGGTACATTATTGAGTTCACTAGTTTACACATATATGTTGTAATATTTTCAAATAAAGCTATTGCTACGAAATACATTTATATTGTTTTCTACTATATGTTATATAGAAAATTTATGACTAAATGACCCGTAACTAACTCTAAGATGAGTAATGTATGAAATAATTTCAATTTGAATCCTGCATCGTACAGAAATGAATTTAATAGCTTATAACAATTTTTATACCAAACAAATAATAGTATACTAATGCTTGAAAAAACTGATTAAATTCTTTGAATATTAATAACAAAACATAATACAATGGTAGATTTATTAATTTTTACTACCTCACAATTGCAACTCACTTTATTGGTTGAAAGGTTTTAAACGTTTTTCTTATAATAGATTTTCTATTTAGATATATAATATTCTAGTACTATTGCGTTCCGTAACTTCAGTGTAGCAGTAAAAGTTCAGACTCACTATTAATAAGTAATACGAAATAACCATAAATTAGTGTAAGTCTAAATATCCATATTATAGTACCGTAATATACCGCATGAACAATAACAAATTAATAAAAATACGTCAGTCTATAATATATCGTATTCATACAATATTATTACAATTATTTTCTCGAAAGGACAAATTTGACATAATATTAAATTATTATACAAATCCATGAAGTGAATTCACATTAAGTTATTAGTCTCCAGCTATAGTACTGTATACATAATATTCCATTTTTAAAATGATCGTTCAAAATAATTTTGTAAAATTGTACATTGTCTCCAAACAATAGACATAGATGGTCAATTTCCCATCATGTAGGCAAGTTATTCAATCTCATTGTGTTGTAAGAAAACATAATAATAACTTTAAAAAAAAATAGTCACTACACTTTTTAATAATTTATAATATTAATTAATACACTTTAATAATTTTTTTTTTTTTTGTCAAGTACCTATATAAAAAAATTTGTGTTTCTGTAATACATTTACTTCATTATTAACGTGAAAGTTGTTTTAAAACATTTTTAACCAGTTAATTAGATACCTAAATGAGGTACTCCACTTTGAGTAAACACCCATATAATTGAACTTTAGACTAACAAAAACGATATCCGAATTAAACCG